TAATTTACACACAAGATTTGTAAGCTTTACTCGCATCTCATCATTCACCAACAAACACTTAAACTTTTCTTTTTTTTTTTTGCATTCTTCTATACTAATTCTCATTTTCTTTTACTCTCGTATAAACCTAATTTCACCCCAAATATACGGATCTACGCTTTATTAAACTTTTTTTTTTTAATACTAATAATATATTCTTTAATACGAATTAAAATGATTTCTTTTCTTCCATTTTACTTTTAATGTATATATTTTTAATTGGGCCTTTGAAAGTTTTTTCATTAATACTATATTCTTTCGGACAGTAACAGTATCCAACATTTTTTGTTTCCATTAACCACATTATCCGATATCGGATTAATTTATTTTATTATCCCTACTCCTATTACTACTATTTTATATTTAATATTAATTTGAGAAAGCAAAAGGAAACAAAATTTGTCAAGGGAATGATGCAGGGAAAAAAAGTTCGTTATAATATAATGAAACAGTGATAAATTGGATGGTCAGTCTTGAGAATTGAGGAGATACTGTATATTCAGTATATATATATATATATATTTGTATGTATGTATAATAATAATGTTTAATTAATCTAAAACACACATAATAGAATTTTTTAAAAAAACAATTAATTTGATTAGCGGTGTTTTTTTTTTATTGCATGAAACCTAAATTCGCACCATATTACATTCTAAATGAAGAGTTGAATTCTTACATTAATCGTATAAAAAAAAAAAAAATGGTGGAATTGGTCATCGATAAGTTATTACTTTTTTGATAACGAACTTTCCAAATTTCGACAAAGCACCGGTGCTGAATAAACATCATTTTAGATTACTAAAAAAAATATTGCGTTTATGTTTCATAATTATATATTGAGATTAGTCAAATAGTTCTGTTTGCGAAAATCATTATTAGATTAAAATATACGTATTAAAGTTTTTAATTTTTTAAAAACCAAAAAAACTTTTTATAATATGATTTATATTTAAAATGTCATATTGATCATCTGTTTTTAATTTTATATATATATATATATATATATTCTATTAATTTTTTCTAAAAAAAATTTAATAAATATACAATATTATTTATTTATTTAAGGTTCTTTAGTATATTAAATTATTATTATTATAAATTATATGGATATTTATTATAATTTTAATATCAAAAATATAAACAAAAATAATATTTAAATTTATAAGATTTTTTTAAAAAATTTTTAACCCAATTTTATAAAAATTTATTTTTTATTTATTTATTTTTTTTAAAAAAATAAAAGTGCATATAACATATGACTTTTATTGAATTATTTACAGTATATTTAATTTATTTATATTCAAATTTATTTAAGTTAATCTTGCAATTTCATCTATAAACTTATTTAATAAACTCATATATAAAAAATAATATGCCTTTTGCTTCTTGTAAATATTGAATTAAAAACATATATTTGAAGATTTTGAGAACACTATCTATTATATTATTGACTTACAAGTCTTTTATTTTTTATTATATATGAATTAATTTATTTTAATAAAGTTTATTTAAAATTAAATATAATTAAAAATTAAAGTCAAATTGAAATATATAAACTTTTTTTAAAAATTATAAAAAAAAGTTTATATATTAAAAAAACTTGAAAATAATGATATATAACTTTAAAAATTAATTATTTGTTTTTTTTTAAAGTTTAAATTTTTTTATTATTTGCTAATAACTTGGAAAAATGCAGATTGTATTTTGAATAATATTTGACTTTATATTATTTCAATAAGCTTATTAGTTATTTCAGTTATATTAAATCAATTTATTACTTTTTTATTATATAATAAAGTTCAAAATTATATAAGCTATATGATGTACTAATTTTACAAAATGGAATAAAAAAAAATACTTTTTATTTAAAGTTTTTAATAATATAGTTTTGATACTATTTTAATATCAGTTTAAAATTCTAATTCTATTTTAAGATTTGATAAAATAATTTAAAATTTAATTTTTTTACAAAATAAAAAAGTATTTTTAATATATCTTTTCAATTAAATATTTTGTTATAAATTTTATAAATAAACTTCTTTATATTTTTTATTAAAATATAAAAGTTTTATTTTAAAAATATTTTTAAATAATAGTAATATTAAAAAAAGTAGATAAAATTTTATTACAAGAATATCAAAACATTTGTTTTTGAGTTAATAAAAAGATTAATAAAAAGAACTTTTCAAAAAAAATATGTTTTTTATTTTTTCATTTTTTTAAAAATATTATATTTAAATTAATATTAATAAATTATAAATAATTATACAATACTTAAATAATTATTTTTTTGATTATATTATATATAATATATATTTATAATAAATAATAAATTACCATTATCTCATTTTAAATAAAATATTAGACGTGCATTTAACGTTAGAAATATAATTCAAATGTCTTTCATTATATCAAGATTGCTAATGTTTATTTCTATATAAGCTTCTTGACCATTGAGATGTTTAAATTATTTGATCTATCTGTTGATTAATATAATTGCAATATTTTATGATCTAAAATTCTGATAGGTTTATTTGGTTTGTTCGTCACTTGCTATATTATCAATTAATCATAATTACATTGTTTGTTATTAGGTCACAGAAATAATATTAAATTTCCAATCCATGATTGTTCCAGATGGATAAGAACAATAAATCCAACAATACATTTATAAGAATAAATTATTAAATTATTGCAGTATATGGTTGTTAATGATCTTTTTGTTGCTTTTACACGCTAATCGAGAAAATAAGCTGTTTACCTTGATATCAAAAATTTGTTATAAAAAATCATGATAAGATATGCACACGAATTTCATAACGGACCATAATGAATAACATCGAAAGATCAACTTTCAATATATTTTACTTTGAGATTCGGTCACCCAGAAACGCGAAAGGTTCTTTAGGTAGCCAGATGGATGATAAATTGTATTGATTGTTTGATTTATTGAACAATGTACCTACTGTTGAAGCCTTTAATATATGTTAGAATTAATTAAATTAAGCTTATTCATTAATTTAATTACTAAAGGTGAATTAAGTAATTCCGATATCTGACGGAAATTTTGTGTCAATAGCAATTAGAAGAAAACAGTGAATTGACAATTTACAATATAATTAGATAATCGATACGGCGGCGGCAAAATCTCGATCAATGGCATCTTAAATAAAAAGAGAAAGCGAGGAAAGACTGTGTAATTGATTTAAAGAATTTGATAGACTAATGTTTTGCAGACTAATAGACGTCAAATGAAAGGATAAATATTCATTACTCGGTGATTAATGATATTACAAATATTAAATATAAAAGATTAATTTATGAAATGCGGTTAATTTATTAAATATCTATTACTCGTAAATTTATGTATATATAAAGAGAGCATACCATCTTTAAAAGAATATTCATTTTAGTGATCTCTTCGCGTGTTACGTACATAATTGCATCTAAAGTCTAAATTTTTCTTTTACGCCTTATGAAAACATGAGCAATGTCAATTGCGTTTCGTTATGCAACACGAATACCCAACAACAACGTCATCGTACAACCCCTGCACAAGTTCAATATCTTGAAGACTATTTCACAAACACCGATGATTTCCCTGATTCGAATGAGAGGGAAAAAATTTCGATCAGATTAAAGATGCCCTCCAAAAGTGTTCATATATGGTGACTATACGAAATTTCATTATTAATTAAATTGAATATCAAGTATATATTAAAAAACAGGCAAGTCTTTCTTTACGTGATTTCATAATTCAAAAGGTTCCAAAATCGCCGCGCGAAACGCAAAAATGAAGAAAAGACTCGTCAAGAACAAGAAGTCATTCGTTTTTCACGTGTCAATCCAACTCCTTCAACTACCTCTAGCATATCGTCTGTATCTCGAAATCACGTGCAATACAACAAATCTACTTCTTCCGCGCGGCAGGCAATCACCCCAAACCGACAACTTTCACGACAGCCGCAGCAATTAGGTCCTCGTCAAAATAGCACCCAAGATGCTGTTATCCATCAACGAAGTCTCTATTCGCTCAGCGGTGTTGCATGCAAGCCTCACCCTCTCGTGGAGGCCTCATCCCATTCACAAAGCGCGCAGGGGGGGAGACTCCCACCTTTAAGAAACGTCACTTCGGACGATAAAATTCGACCTGACATACGCATTGGAGAAGTTATCGCTTTGCCGCCCCTGAGTGTCATCTTATCTAACAGATTTCAAAATTGCACTTGCGGTGTAAATAGTAATTTACACGTCAGCCAACCATTTTCTCATAATCTCGGTTCGGTCTCTCAAAATCCGTCTCGATATCCTTTACACTTAAATCCCCTGTATCCCGTAAACGCTTCAAGCTCCTTAATGTGTTCACATATGCATCAATTTCATCATCGTCGTTCCTTTCATTGTCAACCTTCGACTTGTCTGTCTGTTTCGTGTATGACATCCCACTCCAACACCGCAATGAACGTTCTAGAAGAAATGAGGAAAGAGGCTAAAAAGGATAAAGCCGTTAGTATGAAAATTGACAATTTGTTAGATTAGTTTTAGGGTAATTTGGAGGAGATTAGATTAGATGCATCTATTTCTCTTATGATACAATGATGATTCGGCTTCGAACGGCGAGTCCGTTACCACCTCAGATATTACAGCTTAATGAGGCAAAATATTTGCCAAGAAAACGCTTGATGCTATCCTAAATCGTTTCTTTTTATTAATTCGTCTTTTATTATCACTCTCTCTTCTTTAGTATTGTTTTTTACATACCAATTTTTAACACAACTTATTAATAAAAAAGTTTAAAGAGTAGAATGAATTTACACAATTAAAATGCATACGCATTAAAAGTAAATTAGTCTATTGCACTTGTGTCCATTTCTCTCGAATCGCGTTCACCTTGTTGTAACCTAAACAAAGCATATCAGCAAAACACGCGTTTCCTTATAAACGATATACTGTATTTTATCAATTATATACTTAGACGATTTTGATTAATTAATGTTTCAAACTTCAACAAAAAGCACAATTCATCATTTAATTAAAGATTTGAACATTAAATTTTATAGTTTAATACAAACTTTAATTTTTATTAATCTTAGAAATAACGTTTGACAAATATTCGATTGAAAGATAAAATAGTGTAAAATTTTTTGGATCCAACTTACTAATCTCGTATAATTCTAATTAATTCATTCTAATCTTTCCAAACTTCAATTAACCCTACACACTCTGGTATAATTGAATGAAAATGTTTAAAAATAATATGCTGTACATCCGATTAATTCTATTTATTCATATTTTGATTATTGAAGAGTATATTTTATGATTTTTTTTAACTAGTCAATATAAAAGAAAGTTATACTTATATAGAAAAGTGATACATTTCTCATATAGTTCAAGGAATCTATTGTTATCTGTTTTAATTATATTATTTTAGTGATATAAAAAAGAATTTTAAACTAGATATTGCCTTAAATATACAGTAATAATCTTTTGTAAAGTAATTTTTTTAAACACAATATATATGCCTACTTTATTTAATTTATATACTAATAGATATTATGCTTACAAAGTTAATTTTGCAAATTATTGTTATAGTTATAGTATGGTACAAAAAAAATATAATTATATTTTTATTTATAACTTAATAAATAATTAATAAAAATTTATGAAAATTTATAAATATATAGTTAAATATCTTATAAATGATTTTACTTAATACTGTTTTAATTAACATATTAATATTTTTAAAATAATTTGATTTTTATAATAAAAAAATTTATAACAAGTTTTTTTACTTATATATATATATATATAAAGTAGTTGAAAATAGGTAAAAAAAATTTAATTTTTTTATATTAAAAAATTTTATAAAAACATAAAAACATTATAAATACTTTTGAATATTTTTAACATCATCAGGAAATTTTTTTGGTAAAGATCTCTGGAGATCTTCACTCAAAAAAATTTTTTGAAAATTTCCGGAGAAATCTTCGAAAATCTTCAAAGGTTTTTAAGAATTTTTAATATAGAATTTTTTAAAATAAAAA